ACAATTATTCTAACCAATCCCTTGTTGCGGGACGGGAAGACACTCACTGTGAATTTAATTTCCTTGACTGCATTGTATCCATGTTTACATCTTAATACAGTCCGTCGGTTTCCATACAAGGGTACATAGTACTGAGATTTTTGGGTTGAGTAGGGAGCCAAGAAGCTTTTAAAGTCACAAGATGACAGCCGGTGGGATCACAAAGAGGCTGGATAAGAGTTATAGACCTTTTCGCAAGTCCGATCGTGCTTGTTGAATAACCTGGTACGGTCGGTTGCACTTCACAACACACCCAGGTACTAACATGCCGGTAAGACCGTTGCTACTTATTCCGTTCGGCTGCCGGGAAATCGTACATGCCCTTCTTTTTTGCTTAATTTGAGAATTCGGCAAAACTGTACGGAGCTGTTTTACTTCCCAACGCGGCCATAACAACATCAATGCATTCCCGCGGGTGCATTTTCTTAGGTGTTCGCAGGCCTTATCCTCTCATTTCCGCTTTTACCATGGCAAAAAAACGCTCGCTTCTATTTGTCGTGCTGTTTTCGAGCAGACGCAAATGCTTCCTTAGGTGTAACGCCCATCGCCCATCACAAGTATTACTGGTTTCCAGTTCATAATTTTACGTAAAAATTGACTTATTCGAAAGGGTAGTTTGTACCTTTTGTAATGAATCTCATGTATTTTTATGCTGCAGAAAGTACTTTCACAAAGTCACAGTATTAGGTTATTAATAACTTAGAACAATAAATTTTTATTTGGCGGCGAATTTCCGGGCGCATAGCAAAACGACTATGCGCCAAGAATTTTCCTGGCGCACAGCAGATTGGCTATGCGCCAGGAAATTTCCTGGCGCATAGAAGTGACCATAAATAAAAGGATAAGCCTTAACAAAATTCCGTGTGTGTCATCGATGTCATCGACTCATCCAAACTCCAATGCCGTTCGATAGCCTTTAACGTACAGATTTGCCAATAAAAGTCAAATTTAAGGAAAAAACAAAAGTTTGAAAGAAAACTTGCAAAAACTTTGACATGGAAAGCCTATGGGAACAGCTAAAAATCCATCACTGCAAAACCTACCACCCCACCACTGTCTCGACGGCCAAAACGAATTGACCGACTTACAAGTTAGAGTCGGGAAAACTTTGTTCTTCTGGAATCATGACCACGTGTTATTCCGTGGTCTTGAACGAATTTACAAATTTTGTAATCAGTATTTGGCATCAAGAACAGGTGATTGAGCAAGAACACATAAACAAGGTCTTCAAGCATGAAAACTGCTTAAAAACTGTTTCCCAAGGAGCTGTCATTCGCAGTGGTTTGACCCGCTTAAAGTTGCCACGCTTCCACGGGTGGTTGCCATTTGTACTGAATTGCTGTTAAAGTTAAAAATTTACAGAGTTGCGATACTTTTAATTTTTTCTTCTGTGGAAAATTATGTTCCAGAAAGGCGGAATTACGTGTTTGGGGCTGATCTAAGGGGCAGCAAGCTTACATCTGCACATTTGAGCGACTGCTTGGCAGTCATTAGCCGAGAATTGCAGCTAACGGATTTGGCCCGGTACGTAGTACTAAATTCGTGTACATTGCCGCGGAGTAGAAGTATAGATATTTGCTTCCGCGCACTTCCAAACACTTTTTGTGTGGCTTTTTGATAGTTCCCTCTTCAGCAATTCTTTAACGTCACTGCTTCTGCTGGTGCACAACGTACTGAAAGCCAAGGAAACTCGCCTGAACATGATAATTACTAAGAACGGCTGGGATAACGATAATCTTCCGCGGCGTCAGTTCCTGGGTCTGCACAGAGATGAGCAGGACGGGAATTTTGTTTGCCGTACGCTATCACAGCTAATGACAGTGTGCGAGAACTTGGTGCTCTTGACATACGGTGCGTCAGATCCTACTGGCATTTTTCCCTTACTGGATAAACTGTTCTATCACGTCGCATCACCTTGGCCGGAAAAAGTCGAGACGCAGCGACCGTATCAAGTAGACCAGCGACTGCATGTCACTGTTCCGTTCCTACGTTTCCGTTCCACAGAGACGGCCGCTGAACAGTATCGACACTTCTTAGCCGCGGTCAACGACAACTGTCCAGCAATTAGTCAACAGGTTGGCGACAAGGTTAAAAGGGCGCATGCGAACTGGGTGCAGACGCTGGTTTACCCCGCGCAGTGGACCGGCATTCGCCTGTTCCTAAAACTGTTAGTATCGCTGGTTCAATTTGTTGAGAGACCGCTCAGTTGAGTAGTGTTTAATTTTGCAGGTTCAGCAGTTTTTATGGGGAAGAGAAAGCGCAGCCGTGGGATGAAGTGGACCTTAAATATCTGGACTTTTCAAGGCTAAGCCGCTTAGCCTTGCATCTTCTGGACGGATGCTATAAATCGTGATAATGGTTGTTTAAAACTTTTACGTGTAATTATTACTTATTGTTAACGATTAGGTGTATGAAGTTCGAAAAAATTAAACTGAATTATAATTTGTTCAATGGCAGTTTACTATTTTGTGCGATGATCTAAATTTGTAATATTCCCTTGATCCATGAAGTACAAAAACAAACGCTGTCCATATATTCTAAAAGTTATGGGTGAGAAATCACACTTGTGAACTCTATTTTATGCTAAAGCTTTTGAAACAGAAAACACTTTGTGCTTAATATGATTAGCACGAGCCACGAAGTGTTTTCTATTTCGATATCCACCACGCAGTCAAAAGAATAATAATATTCTTTCGACAGCGTGGTGGATATCGAACCGTTTAGCAGGGTCTCACTATGTAGATTATCTGCACTAATCCAATGGAGTTGCAGATTGTTCGCGGCATAGGATCGTTGCCGATTTGCCGTTCGTGCATAGGATTAGGCTTATGATAGACTAAGATATGCTATAGCGCTCGCACTCGCTTGCAAGTTGCAAACATCGATCTTTTCTGATTGCTTTTCGGGATATACGAGCCCCATCCAGTGCGATGTAACAAAACCAGAAAGCTTGCATTACGGCGATTAGGTTAAGGATTCTTTGAGTAATTGCTTAAATTATACTTGAAGTACGAGTGGTATATCACCGGTTTGTCTTTAACCCGATAACCAGCGTTAGCTCAGCATTTCAAATTTCGAGTCACCATGAACGCGACCTTACGCTATTTCCGGCAGTACAAGTCGGGTGCACGAGAAGTTAACTACGGCAACACGGTTATGGTGCAGCGGGAAAATGACCAATGGTGGCTCGGGTATGTTCAGGATATGGATGGCGAAAACTTCTTCGTTGATTTCGATTGTGCAGCAGTCAACGCGCAATGGATCCACGGCAGCCATGTCTGGCCGCACCATTACCTACGTGCTAAGCTATCGTCATACAAGTACCTGACTGTGCAGGTGGCACTGCGGGCTACCGACGATTTTAGATGGTTTTCCAGCCGGCCACCGTTATCAGTCAGGAATTCCAAATGTTTTGCTTTGCCCGTCTAAATCAAACTGGGGAGACCTGTTCGAGAAGTAGATGCATCGTGCACAAAAACCAGTTAACCGAGCGACTGCCGGCGCCGGACGGGGAACCCAGTCTCATGGGCCGAGTAAGCGGACTCATGTACCGGAAGCACGTCCTTCAATTTGGCCGAGCGCAGTTGCTGTGGGATGCGACTAACATGCCAAAGTACCTATCTCGAACATGTCGATTGGCTTTAGGTGCCGGCGACCTCTTATGCGGACCGGATTGTAAATTTCAGAAACGTTATGTCACCGCGGACACTTTTGCTTTTTGCTGTGAAAACATGCACGGGCAGGAGAATACTGTGAGCTATACATTGGAAGCGGGTTGCCGCGTGTTTCTGCGAGTGGAATACGACACGGTCACTTTCATTTGTGCGGAAGTGCATGGAGACGGTTCAGGGCGCAAAATGTACTGGAATGATGATGCCCTGCAGGAAGCACGTCAAATTTGCGTTGCCGAACAACCGAGTCAACAAGTAAACAGCGACATTGCTAGCAACTATTTGTTGGCTACGTATCAGCATGGTGAGCTAATAGTCTCGCCTTAAGAGATACTCTACCGATAAAAAACCATACACTCCAAGCCGAAAATGATCTTTGAAAAAACAATCTTAGTTTTCCGTCAGAAATCCTTGCTTGACGTCTTCACACCCGACGGGGGTAGCCGCCTTGTACTGCTGGCTGCTGCATTAATATGATTTATGAATACGTTGCATACACGTACACAGAGAATTTTTCCTAATGATTTTTAATATAGGCATGTACGAAGAAATTGACTAATTGCGAACATCTCAGGGTGGCATCTCTAGGCATACGTTTGTTAGGTTGAAAGGCATACGTTTGTTAGGTTGAAATCAGAAAAATTTGACCAAATATAAAGAAATTCGTGTAAAACAAAAAAAAGTGTGAATACGCCGCCACTGAATTTCACAATGAGAAAAGTTATTATTTCGAATACCAGCTGGTGGCAGTGTTAGATCGTGCATGTAAAAACAGAATAAGCAGGTAGCGTGTAAAGGTATACTTTCTTCCTTCCCTCTTTTAGCCCTGGCCAGTACAGGTTTGCTGCTGATACTAATATCTAAGAAGCTAATTTTTTATGTTTTGTTCAGCTGCAAAAATAAGAGAGGAAGGAAATTTCTTTAGTCAAAAAAAGAAAGAATTTCTGAAGGAAGGAAATTTTCTTGATTTCCATATTCAACAAATTCGATTTGTTTTGATAATTACAGAGCATTTAAAAGCTAGTCAAAACTCAAGTCGTGCGATAAGCAGTTAATCATGTAGGATTTTGGGGCGACGCATGAGGGGTGGTGTTATGATGTCATTTGTGTGATGTCATCGGGGATGCCCACTGCAGGAGTTCTTTTTCCCTCGTAATAGTGGTGCCGATGACCGCTGGGCACTGATGGCGCAATGACATTTGTTGGAAACTGTGGTGTTCTCGTGAATCTACCTTTACGTATTATTCCTGTTGTACTTAGCAACTCCGTTACTGCGTGTTTGTCACTTGTCGTCCTTCATATTTAGTCATCCTGCGAGCTTGCTGCTGTCAACCTGTATTATTAAAGTCATACTTATTTACGTACTTCTTTACATACATGCATACATCACAATTGGCGTGAAGTTTCGAACTTATGCTGGTTTCTCCGTATTCCTTACGGCTTTGATTTACTACTGTTTTTCGCCAATTTGCTACGCCCTTCTTATGCTATCGTGGGGGAGAGGATTGCTACATCCTGCCTAGGACTCCGCCCACGAGTTTGTTGATGCATCCCCATCCCTGGCTTCTCCTGCCACTACTGCTTAGGCGACAGATGCTCGCTTCCTTTCTACTCCACAATGCTGGATAAATTTGGATTCCTTCCTGTTTCGGTACCATAATGCTGTACCATCTACTTTAGCGTTCCGCCCTGGAACACAGTTCAGAAGACGACAGGATGATCCGTAGCCATGTACAGCAACATATGTACTACGATATCCGCTACCAGCTGACCTTCACGGTGCAGCGCCAGTGGATTTGTTGGAATTTTCCACTTCGCCCATTACTGGACGATATGGATACCTGGTCCTTCCCGCCAGCGGGAGGAATTTGAAGATGTTGCCATGGCTGACACAGTTCATTTGCTCCATGCAGCAAGCCCCATTCTCAACCAACAGCACCGTATGTACGATGTGTTCAACGTACAAATTCCAGTACACATCCTTCCTGTTATCCTACCACGTACTACGTAGCACGTACCGTACAACACTACCGCTTCCTTGGATACCGGTGCGAAGCAGCTAGAGAAGCGCTGTTCCTGACGTACAGTACAAGAATGCAACCTGCAGTGCCATCCAAACGGCGCCGTACTCGACTGTTGGACTGCAGAAGTGAAGTACTTAAGTACAGTTTTTATATTAGTGTTTGTTTACGTGGATTACTTAACTTACAATAATTATACGGTTGCCTGGTTATTCATACAATTTCGTTCGTTCATGCTAGTACTGTTCCTTCATACAGTGTACGTACAATTACAGTTTCTAATTACAATTTCCTGATTACATTACGTATCATGTTTCTTTGATACGTGGGGACGAATGTGGTGTTCTCGTGAATCTACGTTTACGTATTATTCCTGTTGTACTTAGCAACTCCGTTACTGCGTGTTTGTCACTTGTCGTCCTTCATATTTAGTCATCCTGCGAGCTTGCTGCTGTCAACCTGTATTATTAAAGTCATACTTATTTACGTACTTCTTTACATACATGCATACATCACAGAAACTAACTGCTTTACAGATGTCGAAGAGATGTACATCAGCGAGCTGGCACATCCGGTTGCGGCTGGAATTCTTCTTAATCTGGATAGTGTTACCCAGTTACGAATGAGCCGGTAAGTCACCTGCTTTGCTGACCCCAGTGAATTATACGAGAGGATAACATTTGACGGCTACGAAGATTTGGCATCTTCTAATAATTTCGTCGCATTTGCTATAGGGTATGCACGCTCTGGAATGACCTTATTCGCGACCGTGCCGCTAGCGAACGCATCATCACTGATCTCCACCCGTTCCGCGGATGGCAGGATTCTGTGCTAAACACGCCACTGAATTTCACAATGAGAAAAATTCTTATTTCGATTACCAGCTGGTGGCTGTGCTCGATCGTACTATTTGCGGAATACGCGAACAGTGGCGTTCGTGGGAAGTGAAAGGAATTATAATAACGGTTTATTATTCAACGTCGCCTTATCGCAATTAATAATGCTGCTGGTTATCGACATCCTGAAAGCCAAGACATTTCACCTGCATAGGATTATTATTAAGAACGATTGGGATAACGACAACCGTATAGGGCGTCGTTTTCTGCACTTGTACGAAGATCCTCAGAACGGAAACTATGAATGTGGTGTGCTGGCGGAACTGATGACAGTGTGCGAGAACTTGCTTTTTCTGAAATACGGTGCGTCCGATCCCCTCCGCAACTGCCGACTCCTGAATACACAGTTCTACCAGGACGGATCGCCTTGGCCGGAAAGATCGCAGCAAACGTTTTTCCAGTTAACCGATCTGGGGCTGCCTTTGGTTGTTCCGTTTCTTCGTTTCCGCTCCACAGAAACGGCCACTGAACAATGCCGACGCTTGTTAGCCGCGCTCAACGACAACTGCCCTGCTGTTAGTAAACAGGTTAAGATAAGTTCATAAAGCCCACGCGCACTGGGTGCAGACGCTGACGTATCCCGCACAGTGGGCCGAGATTCGCAAGTTTCTAAAACTGTTAGTAGTACGGACTTTCTCGCTGCGAATGCGCTTTCGAGTGTAATGTTCGCTTTTGCAGATTCTGCAGCTTGGGGGTGGACTAGAACGCACAGGCTTGGGATACAGTAGACCTTCGGAAACTGAACGTGTCGAGAATAAGCCGCTTAGCTCTTCATCTGCTGGACGGGTTCTACATGCATTGATATAAAGGTTGTCACTTTACTGGGCCCGCGCTTACTGTGCCCGCGCTCAAGCTCTGACTGAGACTCTGACTGCTCAAACTCAGACTCTGACCACTAAAACTGAATTTTATATTGAATTTCTTAGGTTTCTTAACCTAAGAAAACGCTGACAAACCTAAGGAAAAACTTAAGAAACCTAAGAAACCTAAGAATAACCTAAGAAACCAAAGAAACCAGCGGATGCCTGCCAGCGGAAAAGGGACAGGACAGACCGTGATGGGCGTAGCAGTCAACCGGCTTAGAACACTTTGTGCAGCTGAGCGGTTCACAAATTTTGGCGCCGAGTCAAAGGCTTACCAAGATTTTCAGCGTGTCATCGTCGAGGAGGTTGCCGATATGCGCAGAAGGTAACGCGTTGAGCCATATACCAGATTCCGGCCTCGAGCCGTATGTAATGCTGCATATTCACTTGCTGTTTAAATTAAAATCTTCATGCGATCCAGGTAACTTCGGCGCGTGTCCTTTTTTCCGCGCGGCCGATACCACGCTACCAGATATGCCGCAGTTATTGTGGTTGTTCGCAAGGCATCTGTGAGCAGGACGCCATCCGAATGAAACCGAGAAGCATCATTATACAACATCATACTGCGAGCCCTCTGCAATGCTGGAATCGAGTCGTATCCGGAGCCTGTGGGTTTTCTGCGAGAGAACGGAAAACGACCGGACGGAGCCCCACGTTGGAAATGGTACCGCGGACAGCCGTTAGTGTGGGACGTGACGTGCAGAGACACGATGTGCGATTCATACATTGATGCGACTTCAAAGTGTGCTGGCGCCGCCGCCGAACTGGCTTGCCGGGAGAAGATTGGAAAATACAAGTCGCTTACTGATCGCTGCATTTTTGTCCCCTTTGCATGTGAGACTTTTGGCACTTGGTGCGAGACCGGCATTGTTACGCTAAAGGAGATTGGAAAGAAGTTATTTTTAAGGACGGGCGAGAGCCGCTCTACTTGTTTTTTATTTCAGCGTTTAAGTTTGGAAATAATGCGTGGGAATGCCATGAGTGTGTTATGTACGGTCCCTTCTCGTGCTAATTGGGACAAGTTTTTCATTTGAATGTATTTCTGTGAGCGATGCTCGTCTCCGTACATATTGCACATAAAGTTTACATCATTAAAATGCACCAATGGGGAAGTCGAGCCCCGGCTGCGTCGAAAGATCCGCTTAGGGAATGCCACTGCACCAAGGTGCGCATAATGACAGACGATGTAATTGTCTTGCACTGCGAGTGTGCGCTTGCAGGCTAACACACAACTTGTGCACAATTTTGCAGCTGTAATAACAGTGACTAATAAACTGTTTTTTCAAGGTCTAAACATTCTGATGTTAAGCGTCACGAAGAAAACTTTTTAAAGATACTATCACATTCAGCGGCACTCACTTTCCAGTCGTCATGAACGCAACTTCATGCTACTTTCGCCAGTTCCAATTGCATTCAGGTGGGAGGGAGCTGAACTACGGTAACACCGTGCTGGTGCAGCGCGATAACGGGCAGTGGTGGCTGGGATTCGTTCAGGATATTGACGGCGACTATTTCTTCGTTGACTTCGATTCGACCACCGTCAGCGCCCAGTGGATCCATTCCAGCCATCTATGGTGGCACCATGTTCTACGGTTCAATATTCCGCCGAATGTAGGCTCCTCCTTGCAAGTGGCGCTTCGGGATGGAGATGGTGGACCGATGGTTCTCCGCAGCGGCACCTACATCAAACAGTTCTGCCGCACGTTCATCGTTGTGCGCTTAGATAATGATCAGCAGGTGACGTCGGCGCGATGCTGTATCGTGCTTAGGCAGGAGCTAAATGCGCAAATACCTTCAACAATCGGGGAACCCAGTATTTACGGCCGCGTTAACGGGTTTGTCTTTCGGAAACGTGTCATTGAATTTCCTGCGGCGTATTTATTGCGGGACGTGGTTAGTATGCCGAAGTTTCTGGCTGATACGTGCCGGTTGAAGCTGGGCAGTGCCGACCCCTGTAGTTCTAGGTGTGGGTTCACCCGACTCGATGGCACGAGTTTCTTCCATTTCGGCTGCAATGGCATGCACCAGCAGCTCGGTCAGGGTTATGAGTTCAATGTTGGTTGTCGTTTCTTTATGCGGGTGGGGATCAGCACAGTCACATTCGTCTGTGCGGAAGTACACGGCCACGCCGGCGGACGCAGCATGTTGTGGGACAACGATTCTCTGAAGGAAGCTTGTGAAAGTTGGTTTGCGGCGCAGCAATCAAAACCAGTTGATGCTGGCAACGTTAATGACTGCAAAATCCTGGCGCGTCAGTGGGGTGAGCTAACGAAGGATTCAAAAGGCTTATTTATTGCGTTTCAGGACATGTGTAACACGCTGCGAGCGCCAATTTACGAAACCATTGTAAATTTGTCGGAGGTGGTTCTTGATGTAGAATTCGTGCACTTTCGATGCAGCCATCAGCTTCTCAAGTTTTTCGAGACTGCCTCTGTCACCGTATTTTCTATTCTGAACTTTTTCATTGGCCAGATTTTCTGGCTAAAGGGATCTTCTGTTGTCTTATACTTTGGTGTTATCATAATACATATTATGAGTGATTCAACATGAATATATTAGCATTGAGCAGCCCTTTTTTAAATTCATCACTCCTTTTGCAGTCGGTGCGGAAGAAATAAGTATCAGTGGTCTTCCACATCCGGTCCTCGCGTGTGTGCTGCTCAATATGGATGTTGTTAATCAGTTACTAACGAGCCGGTAAGTCAACTGTGGTGGGTATTGACGTTTTGTAGGTAGTACTACCGCCGCCCGCCACTACTGGGTAGCTAGGCTGCCTAGGCAGCTGGGTTGTATTAAATTCTTAATTAATACAGACTAGTACAGGCATTACAGGTATTTTGTTGCTCGCCAAAGAATTAAGCAAACAGTACAGTAATGCTTCTGGCTATTCATTAACTGTACGTGTAGCACCAGGATACATACTGTAAATTTGCACTGCTTCCTCTTTGACATTTCTTTCGTTTTTAGGGTGTGCGTGCTGTGGGAGTTAGTTTTAAGGGAATACGTAGCCAGTCGAAACCTACTCTTTGATATCACCAAGACGCATAGTGCCGGTTTCCCTGCAGCCAGTTTCTTCTTTCACTATAGATTCGTCACGATGTTGGACCGCACAGTGTCCAAGCATACGCGAACGGTGCTTTTCCTTGAAAGAAAGACTCTCGGTAATGTGGATAATCTCTATCGCAGCTCACTCGCCGGAAACCTGGCAGTTCTGACAAAGATACTGAAACTCAAGGGTATTTCCATACAAACCGTAATCGCCAAGAACGGCCAGGATTACAAGCTTGCTCCGATACGGCCGTTCTTTGCATTCCGGAAGAGTCATGATCTGCAGTCACATCACTGTCATGCGCTATCGGAAGTAATGGCCGTATGCAGAAAGTTGGTGTTAATCGATTATGCCGCGTCCCAGTTTAGTTGGATCCGACGATTGCTGTATAAGTTTTTCGACAATGGTCCATCGTCATGGCCAGGAAATATGCCGTTTATTCAAAATGGAAGGCAGCCGCAATTGCCAGTGGTTATTCCGTTTCTGCGCATGCATTCGACGGAAACACCGACAGAACAGTGTCGCCGCTTTCTAGCCGCGGTCAACGACAATTGTCCGATCGTTAGTCAGCGTCTGCAGCGCAAGTTCGCCGGTATACATGCGAACTGGGTGCAGACGTTGGCCTATCCTCAGGGTTGGACCGGCATTCGCTCGTTCTTCAAACTGTAAGCATAGTGATGCACTTATTGAGCGCATGGCAAGGGTGCTGATCGCCGGTTATTTCTGCAGGTTCAGCAGTTTTCACCTCGATCACAGTGCAGAATGGTGGGATGGAGTGGACCTGCGAGTGCTCGACGTGTCTGTGTTGAGCCGGTTTGCCATGCACATACTGGACGGATGTTACAAGGACTGATACGAGCTTCAGATTATCTTGCTTGCATTGACAAGAGGATAAAGTGGACACTGTTGGATTGTTGGAACTTGGAACTGATACTTAAATTGTACAACTAATAGTTTTTTATTGCAGCAGTCGCACACAATTATTTGGAGAAACTGACTTTTGGCAACCGGGCTTTCATAAGCAATGTAATTTCCCCAAACTTCTAATACACTCTCAAGTATAGCACCTTGACTTACAGTATGTTGGTCTTTTATGTTCGTCTGAAACATTGCTGTACAGGAATATGTGAATAATTAGTACGCTCTGAGTATTTGTGTATCTAAACAAACCTTAGAAACTGACTACTACCAAAGAGCGAGATGGTCCGCTGGGGGATAGAGGGTTCGATAATAATTTGGGTTACACCGTAACAGCCCGTCAATTAACTACATCTGCGGCTCGAGATTAAATATCCAGTACGAGAATAGAATAAACGCACTCATAATATAATTCACAATCCACATCGAATATTCACAGTGCTAAGAAACGGGAAATTCAGTTCTCCTGGCCTGTAAATAGTGCGACTGTGAATCTGTGATATACCGTATATTACAGTATGGAATACACTTCGCTGCACATTAAATTGTGCATGCTGCAAACGCAAACATCATCAACGCACAGTCATGTGCGTTGGTGACATGAGCGACATCGTCTAAGAGCTGAACTGACTGAACTGAACTGACATATTATCCGGTGTGGAAACTGCCATGGAGAAGTACTTCTACGGCAAGCTATAAATAACAGATAGTTGGAATTAATTTTGTTTTTCGAAGTTTATTGCTGTCAAGTGTGCAATTTCTTAAACATTTCTTATTTATTCACATCCACTCATCGATATTCAGTTTCCAGTCGCCATGAACGCCACATCACGATACTTTCGCCACCTGCATTCAGGCGCGCGCGAGCTGAACTACGGGAACACCGTGCTGGTGCAGCGCGACAACGGCCAATGGTGGCTGGGATACGTTCAGGATATTGATGGCGACCAGTTCTTCGTCGATTTCGATACGACAACCATCAGCGCCCAGTGGATCCATTCCAGCCATCTTTGGTGGCACCATGTTCAACGGCACACTGGTATGCCAAATACAGTCTCCTCCTTGCAAGTGGCACAGCGGGGAGCCGATAGCGGACCGATGGTTTTCCGCCCTGGCACCTTCGTCGACCAGTTATGTCGCACGTTCTGCCGGTTCTGCGTAGTGGGTTTAGAAAGTTATCAGCACTCAACGGTGGCGGATTGCTGCATTGTGTTAAGGCAGGAACTATGTGCTCAAATACCGACAACAAACGGGGAACCGAGTATTTTCGGCCGCGTTAACGGGTTAGTCTTTCGGAAGCATGTCATTGAATTTCCTGCGGCGTATTTATTACGGGACGTGGTTAGCATGCCAAAGTTTCTGGCTGACACATGCCGGTTGAAACTGGGCAATGGCGACCCCTGTATGGCCAGCTGCGGGTTCACTCGTCATGAAGGCACGGGCTTCTTCCATTTCGGCTGCAATGGCACGCACCAACTGCTTGGTCAGGGATATGAATTTGATGTTGGTTGCCGTTTTTTTCTGCGGGTTGGTATCAGCAGAGTCACATTCGTCTGTGCGGAAGTACACGGCCACGCCGGCGGACGCAGCATGTTGTGGGACAAAGATTCTTTGAAGGAAGCTTGTGAAAGCTGCTTCGTGGCGCAGCAGTCGAAATTATTTGGTGGTAGTATCGTTAACGACTGCAAAATGTGGGTGCTTCTGTGGGGTGAGTTAACGAGTGGCTACTCAGAACGTTTATTTATTGCTTCTCAGAGCAGCTTTAACAGTCTAGGAGTAGGAGCGCCCATATACGGAATAACTGTCATCGATGGTTCGTGATGTATGATTCATGCACTCGTAAAGCAGCGATCAGCTTCTAGAGGTTTTCGGCACAACATCTTTCAATATACATTCTGAATTTGCTGTTCAGGGCTACAGAAGACATTATTAGCCAAAATCTCCGGCCAATAAAATTTCTGTTGTAAGCAGTAAGGTGATAATGATATCATAATAATTTGCATTGCGCCCTTTTGAAATTCACTTCTTTTGCAGACGGTTCCGAAGAAATAAGTATCGATGATCTTCCACATCCGATCCTCGCTTATGTGCTGCTCAGTCTGGATGTCGATAGCCAGTTACGAACGAGCCGGTAACTCAGCCGTGTTACTTGTAATTTTTAGCTCGCAAACGAATAATAGCGTACAGTTATTTTTTGGCTATCCATTAACTGTACGTGTAGCACCACGAAGTTCTGCCTTGCTTCCTCTTTGATCTGTTTTTTTTTGCTGCGTGTTTTAGTGTGTGCGCGCTATGGAAGCTGCTTCTACTGGAATATGGAGCCAGTCGACACATACTCTTTGACATCTCGAAGACCCCTAATGCACGTTTCCCCGCTGCCAGATTCTGCTTCCAGTATAGCTTTGTGACGATGGTGGACCGTACCGTGTCCCAGCATACACGAACGGTGATTGTCCTTGAAAGAAACACGCACGGCGAAGGTGATAGTCTGTATCGCAACTCACTGGTCGAAAACCTGTTAACCCTTACAAAGATACTGAAAGTCAAGGGTATTTGCCTGCAAAGGATAATCGCAAAGAACGGTCAGGATTATAAGCTTGCTCCAGTTATGCCGTTGCTGGGTTTGCGAAGGAGTGATGATCGCAAATCCCATTACTGTGATGCGCTTTCGGAAGTAATAACGATCTGTAAGGAGCTGGTGTTACTAGACTATGCCGCGTCGGAGTCTCTTCGCATCCGAAGATTGCTGTATCTGTTATTCGACAACACTGCTTCTTCATGGCCAGGAAATATGCCGTATAGACGAAATCTAGGCAAGCCGGAATCGCCGGTGTCTGTCCCGTTTCTGTGCATTCATTCGACGGAAACACCGGCTGAGCATTGTCGCCGCTTTCTTGCCGCGGTCAACGACAATTGTCCGGTCGTAAGTCAGCGTATGCAGTTAAAGTTCGCAACTGTGCATGCGAACTGGATGCAGACGTTGGCTTATCCTCAGGGTTGGACCGGCATTCGCTCGTTTCTCAAACTGTAAGCATAGTAACACATTTAATGAGCGCATGGCAGGTTGCTGATCGCCGGTTATTTGTGCAGGTTCAGCAGTTTTCACCTCGATCACAATGCAGAGTGGTGGGATGGTGTTGATCTGCGAGTGCTCGACGTATCTGCGTTGAGTCGGCTGGCCATGCACATACTGGACGGATGTTACAAGGACTGATACGGGCCTCTGATTGTCCTGCATGCAGTGACAGGCGCCCAAATTGTTGGAGTTGATATTTAAATTGTAAAATATGCTATGGTTTTTTATGCTGCAGTGCAGTTAATAATTGGCCACGAGTACTTATTTTTGGCTTTTGCACACAATTACTTACTTATTTGGAAACATTGACTTTTGGCAGTAAGTATGCGTCCCGCCCTTACAGTAAGTATGTTCATAGCAAATTTGCGCCTTGACTTATGTTGGTACACATACTTGACTTATGTTGACACATTGGTACGCAGGCGACAGGAATACATATAACGCTATGACTATGAGCATATGTGTGTTTGAAAACAAACGTTTGTCACCTAAAAACTAACTACCACGATCAAAGTGCGAAATCACGCGTTAGAGTATCACGTCGCTAAAGCCTGCCTGCTAAATGGGCCGCACACTGCACACAGCTTAGATCTAACAGTTGCGTTAGCTTGAGCCGCCCATATTAAGGTTAATAGCTAAAATTTTACGTAACCAAATGACCAGGGCACATTTTCCGGGTCCAAATTCAGAAAAATCTGATCTTTGGCAGAAACATAGTATACCATCGTAGTATATTTAAATAATAATTTCAGCTGCTGACACCCAAAGGGCGTGGCCAAGCAAAATTAATAAGTGAGTAATGCTCCATGTTAATACACTGCACTAGCGCAGTTCCCGCACAGGCTTTTTATAAAATAACAGCAGATCAGGAAAGTTTCACCTCTTGCAGAAACGTAGTATTTTGCCACATTATGATTAATGAAAAATTTTATGTGCAAACGTTAATGCGACAAAGTAGAAAAACCATTTGTAGCTGCGATTCTTTGCGGTAGTGCAACAGTACGTACCACATACTCCACTGATTTGAATTCTGGATTTTTCTTTTCCTCACTGTCTGCAGGGTGCTCCCGAAACTTGTCATAAATATTAAAGTTCATTATTTTTTACGCGTGCTGTAGTCGTACACTGTCATTCGGTAAAAGATGAAAATTTCCTGATTTATTAGTATTACACTGATACAAACAGCTGTTAGAGTACTACACTAGTGCAGTGCAATAGAATGTACTACTCGTATTTCTTACTTATTAATTTTGTTTGGCCACGCCCTTTGAGCGTCAGCAGCTGAAATTATTTTTTTAAATATACTACGATGGTATACTATGTTTCTGCCAAAGATCAGATTGTTCTGAATTTGGACCCGGAAAATGTGCCCTGGTGAGTAATCCGTAGAATATCGAACATGGCTAACATTTAATACAAATAATACTGAAACGCTTCTATTCGATTGTTTAATTTAATGTATCTATGTGTCCCGTCTAAAATTATCGTTAACAAGATACATTTGCTTATTTTTGTAATACGTGTACTCGTATGGCTTATACAGGTCGCTCAAAGCCTTAGAGAACTACAGCCTCATACAGTATGAGGCTGTATCTCTAAGGCTTTGAGCGACGTATGGGTCAGTCAATAACTGCGATTTGAGCAGAATAAATGACCTGACAGCGTATCCGGGAATGATTTGTAGCCACTGGCACTACCATACCAAAATCAAAACGAATCACAGCTCTTACATGTGTGTTTAACAGTTATTTCCTTTTTCAAGGTGCGCGACCACAATGCTGACATAGAAACTTTTGAGTGGCTTATCGAAGTGCTCGGCATTTATTTTCCCATCGCCATGAACGCAACATCACGCTACTTTCGCCAGTTGTGTCCAGGTGCGCGCGAGGTGAACTACGGGAACACTGTGCTGGTGCAGCTCCATAGAGACCAATGGTGGCTGGGATACGTGCAGGATATAGATGGAGACCTGTGCTACATTGACTTCGACTCGACCACCGTCAGCCCTAATTGGATCCATTCCCGCTATCTTTGGTGGCACCATATTTTGCGCTCAGACATTATGGCAGATCCTGGCTTTTCCGTGCAGGTGGCGCTACGGGATTCCAGCGACGGACCGATGGTTTTTCGCCCGGGAACCTTCATCGAGAAAGTAGATCCCGGATTCTGCGCAGTACGATTGGCTGACAATCGGCCCAACACAGCGTCTGACTGCCGTATCGTGCTTTGGCATGAGTTAGCCGGACGGTTGCCGGCAACGAGAATTTTCGGTCGAACTAACGGTGTCGTATATCGGAAACATGTCGTTAAGTTTCCCAAGGCCTATTTATTGCAGGATGTGGCTAGCCTTCCCAAGTTTGTGGCTGATACGTGCCGATTAACTCTGACCAATGGCGACCAGTGTGATGCCACGTGTGGGTTTGCTCGCTCTGTTGGTGCGGGCTTCTTTAATTTCCGCTGCGCCGGCAGCCACCAACTGATTATGATTAATCCGGTATACGAGTTCGGTGTTGGCTGTAGTGTATTTGTGCGGGTGGGAGTGGACACGGTCACATTCATCTGTGCGGAGGTGCACGATGATGCAGCAGGACGCAGCCTGTTCTGGGATGAAAATTCTCTGCTAGAAGCCTGCCATAGTTGCTTCGCGATGCAACAATTAAAAGCAGCCACTAAGGGCATCGTTACTGCCTGCAGAAAATTCGCGCTGCTGTGGGGTGAGTGAAAAGCGCTTACCATAATTCCATATGCAGTATTTTATATATTTTTGTTTAGCAGGCCTCTTTTTCTCTTTCTACCGTGAGCAGAATCCCCCCGCAAACTCGCATTGCCACTAGAGTCTCGCTTGAAACAGAAAAATCTCCTGGAGGGTTTACAGAGAAAGTCCTCTTAAAAACAAATAATTGTGTATTAATCGATTGATAATTTCGGTCGATTAATAATTTTTGAAACTGTGTCATACGTAATAGTTATTCCTATAATTTGGTGCAACACTGTGCACTAAACCGTGTAAACACACAATCGCTTGCTGCGCGTTATGCATTAACAAGTTACAGGATCCTAATCGATGAATCCGTATTGCGAATCTGCCTGAAAGGCTGTATGCACGGATAACACGAAGCCGTCGAAAGCCGGCATTGTCGTAATAAGACATAAATCTCATCAGACTCTGGAATATTACTTTGTAGCTACGCACTTGAATTAAATTTTCCCCTGTTGACTCACTGTCATTTTTGCAGACGGTTACGAAGAAACAAGTTTAATTGGTCTCCCCCATCCGATTCTCGCCTGTATCTTGCTCCATCTGGATGTTCTTACTCAGTTACGGACTAGCCGGTGAGTCATATGCGGTATTTCTTATCTATATAAAGTACTATTATTAATAACAGAATTGTGTAATCATTGGTAGCTGCAATAAGTTAGGGCTGCCAATAATATTTCGCTAATCAGTCGCTTATGTCTATATCGTCGCTGTTATAAAAAACACACACATGTAATAAACAGGAACGCATACTGACGAAGTTATGCCAAATTGTTTTATATGTTCAATTTTCATCTGAATAATTAAAATGTATGATATTGCTGTACATATTTCTTAACGGTATTACTTGGCACTGGCGTTTTGGACTAATTAAAACGAGTGCTGCTGACCTTTTTCCTCCTGCCCGTTTTAGGGTGTGCGCGCTGTGGAAGCTTGTTCTACGCAAATATACGGCCAGTCAACACATAACCTTTGATGTCTCTGAGATTTGCGCAAACAAGAATGATAGTGCACAGTTTCCCGATGCCAAATCCTACTTCCACTATAAATTCGTAACAATGGTGGACCGCACTGTGTCCCGGCACACACGGACTATGAATTTCCTCGAACGAAAACCGCATGGTGATGATGGTACCCTGTTTCGCAGCTCACTCGTCCACAAACTGCTAACTGTTACAAAAATACTGAAAGCAAAGGGTTTCTACATGCAAACGTTCATCGCCAAGAATAGCCAGGATTATAATCTTGCTCCAGAACTCCCGTTCCTGGGCCTCGGCAAATTCAGGGATAAAAAGTCGCATTACTGTTATGTACTGTCGGAAGCACTGACGGTCTGTAAGGAACTGGTGTTAATCGACTACACTTCGTCGAATCTGCTACCCATTCGGAAACTGTTATATCGAATTTGCAACGGTAGCGCTGTTGCATGGCCTGGAAACTTACGGGTTATGCTACAAGGAAGGGAGCCGCCACGGCCGACGGTTATTCCG